GCCCCACTTTTCCCCTCGGCCCCCCTGAAGCCCCTGCCCCACCTGTGCCAGGGGCCGTCTGGCCGGGAACCTGGGGTTCTCTGCCCCTGTTGCCCCCAGCCCTTCATCGGGGGGTGGGGTCGAAGTGGGGGGAGCCTCCGAGCCACCCGGCCCTCGACGGGAAGTCATTCCATATGCTCCCGACTGGGGATCACAGTTGCAAACCAGGTATGTGCCCTGACAGGGAATTAAACTGGTAACCTTTCGGTGCACAGAACAGTGCTCAACCAGCTGAGCGGTCCCAGCTGGGGGAAAATGATGTTCTTTGTTTTTGTTTTTAAATAAGACTTTTTTGAGAGGGAAGCAGAGGGGGCCCTGGCCCCGAAGCCGACAGTGTCCCACGAGAGATCCAGCACGCACCCCGCCAGACGCCGGAGGGTCCCGTGCGAGCACAGACCACGGTAGGCTCCCCGATGGGGCAGGGCTGGGGGGGTAGATGCCAGTCCCCAAATGTAGCCTCAGCAGGGCACACGTTCCCTCCTCCCTCGTGTGTCTGGGAGGCCCCAGTGGCCCACACGGTTCTCCGGGCCTCAGTCGCTCCATCTGTGTAATGGGTATGGTCAGCCGTGCCTTGCACATCTCTCGGAGGATGTTGAGGCAAAGAGGACAGACCAGATGTGGAAGTGTCAGGTGGCCACGTGAGGGGTTAAAGATCGTCTTGGGGTTAAAGGGCAGAGGAGAGAGCGCAGGATGGGGAGGCCAGAGTCCTGGCTTCCTGTGATCCCCCAGTCACCGCTCTGGGGATAGTGACTCCCGGATTCCCAGGGAACCTTCCCGTTCCCGTTTCCGATGAAGACGAGGCTGAGGGTCCCTGTTCCTCCAAGAGGGGCTGCGGGGGGTTCCGGGGAGGCCCCTGCCTGCCTGTGCTTTGGGAGGAAGACGGGCGATGATGGCGTTTGTCAAAGTGAAGTTCCCCACGGGGGGGCTGTGGGCAGTGCGGTCCGTCAAGGTCATGGCCCCTTCGTTTTTGACCTTGGGCCAGCCTAGGACTCAACGATGCGGCGTAGTCTTTGCTTATTCTGTGAGGTAGGCCCAGCCGTGGAGGCACGGACTCAGGGGCCATGGTGAGGGGGAAGGAAAGGCAAAGTCTGCCTGGAGCTTGGAACCTGAGGGCAGGCTTCCGGGAGGGCGGGGGCACTGTCCCCCGGGTCTGTCCTGGAGGGGAGGGGCGCTGAGGGGGGTGGGAAGGGGCAGCAGCGTCCCTCCCTCCCTCTTCCTCCTCCCAGACCTCCAGCTGGACCAAGGCAGCTGCCCCCAACCCAAGCCCCGTGCGCGTGGTCCTGGCGCCCCCTGGTGGCCATTATTGCGCTTTCCACCCCCTCCTCCTCCCAGGAGGTGCTGGGCAGCGAAACCCGGCCAGGACCTCTCAGTCGTGTCCCCTTTCCCTGCCCT